TTATTAATAGTAAATATTAATATTAGTAAGTATTAATATTAGTCTCTGTTTATATATGTATTTTAAATATAAGTGTGTGTATATATAATATACATATATTGGTATATACTTTATATATATATATATATATATATATATAATTTTATTTTTCTATTATTATTTTATATCTCTATTATTATTATTATATATTTATATTATTATTTTATATTGCTATTATTTATTATTTGTATTTTATTTTTCTATTATTATTTTATATCTCTATTATTATTATTATTATATATTTATATTATTGTTTTACATTGCTATTATTTATTATTTGTATTTTAATTTTTATTATATATATATATATAATATAGAAAAATAAAAAATAATAGCAATATAAATTTATATTTTATTATAATATATATTTTGTATTGCTATTATTTATTATTTTAATTTTAGTTTTCATAGATAGATAGATAGATAGATAGATAGATAGATAGATAGATAGATAGATAGACAGAGAGAGAGAGTACATATTATATTACCATATTTTAAGTATGTGTGTGGCATTTCTGGCCTTTTGGGACTCTTCTAGATTTGGCTACTCAATACTGTCATTTTTGCAATACTTGTGTTGGCCACTAGTTGGTGCTGTAAACTCCCAAAATTGTATTACTCTCTGAGTACCAATGGGCCAAATGATGATCGTGCCATTACTGCTCAAGCAGGGAGCTTTGAGATAGTCGAACAGAAGCTCTCTGAAGCTCTAGGTGCTCTTACTGCCTGCTACAGGGAAAACCAGCTGATCCCCAACCCATCTAAAACACAGACATGTGCGTTTCATCTCAAGAACAGACAAGCATCCCGAGCTCTGAGGATCACCTGGGAAGGAATCCCACTGGAGCATTGCAGCGCACACAAATACCTGGGAGTCACTCTGGACCATGCTCTGACCTACAAGAAGCACTGCCTGAACATCAAGCAAAAAGTGGGTGCTAGAAACAATATCATACGAAAGCTGACTGGCACAACCTGGGGATCACAACCAGATACAGTGAGGACATCTGCCCTTGCGCTGTGCTACTCTGCTGCTGAGTATGCATGCCCAGTGTGGAACACATCTCACCACACTAAAACAGTGGATGTGGCTCTTAATGAGACATGCCGCATTATCACAGGGTGCCTGCGCCCTACACCACTGGAGAAATTACACGGTTTCACTTTATTGCACCACCTGACATCCGCCGGGAAGTGGCAGCCAATAGTGAAAGGACCAAGGCAGAGACATCTCCAGCTCATCCCCTGTTTGGGTATCAGCCAGCATGCCAACAACTTAAATCTAGAAATAGTTTTCTAAGATCTACAGAGACACTTGCTGGAACACCTCAGCAAGCAAGAGAGAGTTCAAAAGTGGCAGGTTCAAACCCAGAACCTCAACCAATGGCTGATACCAAATGAGAGACTCCCCCCTGGGCACACAGAAGACTGGGCGACTTGGAAGGCGCTGAACAGACTGCGCTCTGGCACCACGAGATGCAGAGCCAACCTTCAGAAATGGGGCTACAAAGTGGAATCCTCGACATGCAAGTGTGGAGAGGAGCAAACCACTGACCACCTGCTGCAATGCACCCTGAGCCCTGCCACATGCACAAGGGAGGACCTTCTTGCAGCAACACCGAAGCACTCCAAGGGGCCAGATACTGGTCAAAGGACATTTAATCAACTACCAAACTCACAAGTTGTGTATTTTTCTGTTTGTTTGCTTTGTTCTGTTAGAAATGTAATATAATGGACTGGCTGCCCTGACACAACAAATAAATAATGGCCCAAAGATGATGATGATGATGATGATGATGATGATGATGATGATGATGATGATAGAGTTGCAAGGGACTCCTAAAGGCCATCCAGTCCAGCCTCCTTCTGTCTCCATGCAGGAAAGGCACAATCCGATCCCTCCTGACAGATAGCCATCCAGCCCATATTTATTTAAAAGCCCCAAATCAGGAGCTTCCACCACATTGATATTAATAGTAATAATAATAACAATAACAATATAATAATAGCGCCAGCAGACAAGAGTCCTTTGTCCCACCCTGGTCATTCCACAGATATATAAACCCTTTTTCCTAGTTCCAACAGACCTCACTACCTCTGAGGATGCTTGCCATAGATGCAGGCGAAACGTCAGGAGAAATGCCTCTAGAACATGGCCATATAGCCCGAAAAAACCTACAACAACCCAGTGATTCCGGCCATGAAAGCCTTCGACAGTACAATATAAGAATAATAATAACAACACCCAGCAGAGTGATCATGTCTGCTGTGGACTCATCTTGTTGTGTTTCAAATAATAATAATCTGTACTTCACTTCTCTTTCTTGATCGTGACCCAAATGCCAGAGAGTGTGACGCCTGGCCCCAATCAAAGACTTTAGGCTGAAGGATATCCCATAGAACTCCCTGCCAATTGACATTAACAAAATGCCAATTATCCTATTATTATTCTCATTCATTATTATTATCATTTCCTTTTCTTGTTCCCTATTATTATTATTACTTTATTTATTTATTTACTGTATTTGTATACCCGATTGTTATTACCCTATGGAACTCCCTGCCCCTTGATGGTAAGAAAATGCCAATTAATGACTACAATAGATCATGATGATGATTATGATAATCCTAATAATTCTATTATTATTCTCATTTCCTTTTCTCATTCCCTATTATTATTATTGCCCTATTGTTATTACCCTATGGAACTCCCTGCCACTTGATGCTAACAAAATGCCAATTAGTGACTACAATAGATCACGGTGATGATGATGATAATCCTAATAATCCTATTATTATTCTCATGCTTAATTATTATCATTTCCTTTTCTCGTTCCCTATTATTATTATTGCCCTATTGTTATTACCCTATGGAACTCCCTGCCACTTGATGCTAACAAAATGCCAATTAGTGACTACAATAGATCACAGTGATGATGATGATAATCCTAATAATCCTATTATTATTCTCATGCTTAATTATTATCATTTCCTTTTCTCGTTCCCTATTATTATTATTACCCTATTGTTATTACCCTATGGAACTCCCTGCCACTCGATGCTAACAAAATGCCAATTAGTGACTACAATAGATCACGATGATAATAATAATAATCCTATTATTATTATTATTATTCTCATTCATTATTATTATCAGTTTCTTTTCCTGTTCCCTATTATTATTGTCCTATGGAACTCCCTGCTACTTGATGCTAACAAAATGCCATATTAATGACTACAATAGATCACAATGATGATGATAATAATAGTCCTAATAATCCTATTACTATTATTCTCATTCATTATTATTATTATCATTTCTTCTTCCCTATTGTTATCATTACTATCCTATGGAACTCCCCGCCACTTGATGCTAACAAGACACAATGGATTACTATGATGACGACGATGGTGATGATAATATCACTCTGATGATAAAGCTAATAATAATATCAACCTGATGACAATTATAATATAACTGATAATTATGATAATATCACTCTGATGATGATGATGATGATAAGATAATATTACTGATAATGATAATAATACTCTGATGATTATGATTATATCACTCTGATGATAATATTACTGATAATGATGATAATACCGATGATGATGATATCACTGATGATAATAATATCACCGTGATGATGATAATAATATTAATGATGATACTATCATTGTGATGATGATGATGATAATAATATCATTCCAATGATGATGACATTAATATAATAATATAACTCTGGTGAAATTAATATCACTCTCATGATGATGACTATAATAGTTATATTACTGATGATGATGATAGTCATAATGTATGTAATATGTTTACTTTGTCTGTCTGACTGACTATCTTCTTATCTATCTGTCTGACTATAATAATAATTATTATTATAATTATAATAATAACTGGAAAAGATGACATGATATGAGGATTTAAAGATCAAACTGCAAAGACTGGCAAAACCAGAGTCAGGGGGGTCCCAGTGGTGATCGGCACACTGGGTGCAGCGCCTCAAGACCTTGGCCTGCACTTAAAAACAATCGGCACTGACAAAATTACCATCGGCCAGCTGCAAAAGGCCACCTTACTGGGATCTGCACGCATTATTCTCCGATACAATATCTAATATATATACTATATGTGTGTGTGATATGTGTATTCTATCTATCTATATCTGATATCACTCTGATAATAGTATCACTGTGATGGTGATGATGATGATGATGATGATGGTAATATTACTGATGATGATGATACTATCACTCTGATAATAATAATGATATCACTCTGATGGTGATTATATTAATAATATTGATCTGATGATGATGATATCACTCTGATGATATTAATAACATTGTTCTGATGTTATCATTGGGATGATATCAATAATATTGATCTGATGATGATGAKATCACTGTGATGATGATATTAATAATATTGATCTGATGATGATATCACTCTGATGATATTAAGAATATTGTTCTGATGATATCATTGTGATGATGATATTAATAATATTGATCTGACGATGATATCGTGATGATATTAATAATATTGATCTGATGATGATGATATCACTGATGATGATGATATTAATAATATTGATCTGATGGTGATCATATCACTGTGATGAAGACATTAATAATATTGATCTGATGATGATGATATCACTGTGATGATAATAGTAATAATATTGATCTGATGGTGATGATATCACTGATGATGATATTAATAATATTGATCTGATGATGATATCACTCTGATAGTGATGATGATATTATAATATCACTCTGATGACAATAATATCTGACGATGATCTCACTCTTCTAATGATGATGATGATAATAATTAGATAATAGTAATATAATAATATGTGTCATAATATCATAAGTGGTCCTCGACCCACTTAGAGATGCCCCCCTTCCCAAAATGCGTAGACGTCTGGACGCCTGTCTGTGCTGGAGCTCCTCCCCTTCCATCTCTCTCTCTCTCCATCCCTCCTTCTCTCTCTTCCTCCGCCAGCCTCTTTCCCCATCCCTCCATCCTTCTCTCCTCCTTTGTTTTGCCATGCAGAGCCCTCCATGGAGCCGCTGAGCCACCACAGCACCGGCCTTCCCCGCCTCTCCTGGATCGACACCCTCTATAGCAGTAGGTGCCTCTTTTTTGGGGGGGTCTTCATGTCAACATTGGGGTCCCCAGTTACGGAACCGGGCATCCCTTCCATCCTGCATCCCGGTGCCTTTCCCTTTGGGGCTTGAAATGGACCAACATCCCTTGGCATCTCTTCCTTCCTTTTTTGGGGTGCTGACCCCCAATATTTTGGGGGGGGACCCCATATATTCCCAGTGGAAAAGCTTAGCATTATATAAATCCCATTTGAAATGGATACATATCTATCTATCTATGTATGTGTAAGTGTGTATAAGTATATATAGGTATGATCTATTTTGGGGGGGTATATGATGTGGATATGCTATATTTTGGGGGTCCACCTCAATGGGGAGACACACACAGTGGTGATATCATTGCTTATGCAACCGAGCCTCTGTCTCCTTCTCTCTTCCTCTTTCGTTCCTTCGTTCTGTTTTCCCCGAAACCCCAAGATATTTGGGGTTCAAGGGGCTTGGGCTCTCCTTTTGGATAGACAACAAGGCTTGGGTTGCTTTAAGACCCCCATCTCGTTATCGTTATGATTTTGGTCCCTTCTTTCCTTTGGGGAGCTGTCTTTTTCCTCACAACGGCCTTGTGAGGTAGGCAGGCGGATACTTATTATTATTATTATTATTATTATTATTAAATTCCTAACCTTTGTAATTGCATTTCTATATTATTATTATTATTATTATTATTATTATTATTATTATTTAATTCCTAGCCTTTGAAATTGCATCTCTGTCACTATTATTATTGTTATTATTTTATTATTATTATTTAATTCCTCACCTTCATAATTGCATCTGTCACTATTATTATTATTAGTAGTAATAGTATTATTATTATTTAATTCCTGACCTTTGTAATTGCATCTCTGTCATTATTATTATTATTATTATTTAATTCCTAACCTTTGTAATTACATTTCTATATTATTATTATTATTATTATTATTATTATTATTATTATTATTATTATTTAATTCCTAGCCTTTGAAATTGCATCTCTGTCACTATTATTGTTATTATTTTATTATTATTATTTAATTCCTCACCTTCATAATTGCATCTCTGTCACTATTRTTATTATTAGTAGTAGTAGTAATACTATTATTATTATTTAATTCCCAACCTTTGTAATTGCATCTCTGTCATTATTATTATTATTATTATTATTTAATTCCTAGCAATTGCAATTCWGACATTATTATTATTATTATTATTATTATTATTATTATTATTATTTAATTCTTGGCCTTCATAATTGCATTTCTGTCACTATTAGTATTATTATTATTAGTAGTAGTAGTAGTAGCAGTATTTAATTCCCAGCCTTCATAAATACATTTCTGTCATTATTATTATTATTATTATTATTATTATTATTATTATTATTATTATTTAATTCCTAGCATTTGCAGTTGCATCTCTATATTACGAATAATATTATTATTTAATTCCTAGCCTTTGAAATTGCATCTCTGTCACTATTACTATTATTATTATTATTATTATTAATTAATTCCTCATTTTTGGAATTGCATCTCTATATTATTATTACTATTATTGTTGTTATTTCCTCGCCTTTGCAATGCATATCTGTAATTATGAAGGCTACGAAAATAATAATAATAATAATAATAATAATAATAATAATAAGATATGCAATTACAAAGGCTAGCAAATAAATAAATAAATAATAGTAATAATATATTCCTAGCCCTCGTAATTGCATCTCATTATTATTATTATTATTATTATTATTATTATTATTATTTAATTCTACATATTTGTAATTGCATCTTTATGTTGTTGTTGTTATTATTATTATTATTATTTAATTTCTAGCTTTTGTGATTGTATCTCTGTAATTATTTCTGTTGTTGTGGGGTTGCTGTTTACATTTTGACCCTCCTTTCCTTTCTCAAGATCGCTTTGACTCCACTTTTTGTCTTCACAACAATCTTGTAAGGCAGGCCAGGCTGACACATATAATAATTATTATTATTTACCCTATGAACTTGGACAGTAGTCCACGCTCACGTCACATCTCTAATAGACTGCTGCAATGCATTCTACATGGGGCTGCCTTTGAAGACTGTTCGAAGGCTTTGAATAGTCCAACGGCAGCGACCAGGTTCCTCACCAGAAAGGCGTAACAGAATGCCTTCTGTTACGTCAGCTCCACTAGTTGTCCGTCTGCTACCGATCACAATGCAAAGTGCTGGCTTTGGCCTATAATGCCCTAAATGGTTCCGGCCCACTGAGATTAGGCCCAGTTTACCTGTCCGAATGTATCCCCTTTATGAACCATCTCAGAGGTTAAGATCGTCCGAGGAACCCCTGCTCTCAGTCCCACCTCCTTCACAAACGTGACTGGTGGGAACAAGAGATGGGGTCTTCTCAGTGGTTGCTCCTTGTCTATGGAACTCCCTCCCCACTGAGATTGGGCCCTGTTTACCTGTCCGAGCGTATCTCCCTCTATGAACCACTTCTGAGGTTAAAATCTCATGGGGAGGCCATTCTCTTGGTCCTACCTTCTTCACAAGCGTGACTGGCAGGAACGAGAGACGGGGCCTTCTCAGTGGTGGCCCCTTGTCTATGGAACTTTCTCCCTAGTGATATTTGATCAGCGCCTTCCCTCCTGGCCTTCAGAAAGGACATATAAACATAACTGTGGGACCACGGCTGTAAAGTAATGCCGTGCAAGAAATGATTACGATTCTGGATTATGTGATCTTAAGGTTCATATTAAGATGTTTTGATTCTGTACTTTCATTGCCTCAGTGTTTGTTTATGTTCCATGTTTAATCTGATTTCAATTATTTTAATTTATAGTTAGTATATGTCATTGTTTTTGGATATTATGCTTTGGTATTGTATGTAAGTTGGCATTTGTTTGATGTACACCACATTGAGTCCCCTCATTGGTGAAAAAAGCGGTATAGAAATGCAGTAAATACATAAAATAAATATTAGTATCATGTAAAACAAGTGTGAACACGAAAGACATTAAACATTAGGATACTCAGGTAATAGTAATATAATTTTATTATATTATATTTATTATTATTATTAGTAGTAGTAGTAGTAGTAGTAGTAGTATCATCATGTAAAATAGGACCTGAACACGAAAGGCAATAAATATTAGGATAATCAGATAATAATAATAGTAATATAATTATAATATATTATTATTATTTATTATCATGTAAAACAGGACCTAAACACGAAAGACATTGAATATTAGGATACTCCAATAATAATAATAGTAATGTAATATAGTTATTCTATATTATTATTGTTTATTATTATTATTATTATTATTATTATTATTATTATCATCATGTAAAATGGGACCTGAACACGAAAGACATTGAACATTAGGACACTCAGATGATAATAGTAATATAATATAATAATTCTATATTATTATTTTTTATTATTATTATCATGTAAAATGAGACCTGGACACAAAAGACATTGAACATTAGGATACTCAGATAATAATAGTAATATAATATATTTATTCTATATTTATTATTATTATTATTATTATTAATATTATCATGTAAAACGGGACCTGAACACGAAAGACATTGAACATTAGGATACTCAGATAATAATAGAATAGTATTATAATATAATATAATTATTCTATATTATTATTTTTTATTATTATGATCATGTAAAACAGGACCTGAACACAAAAGACATTGAACATTAGGACACTCAGATAATAATAGTAATAATAATATAATATAATTATTCTATATTATTATTATTATTATTATTATTTATTATTATTATTATCATGTAAAACGGGACCTGAACATGAAAGACATTGAACATTAGGATACTCAGATGATAATAATAATAATAATAATATGATATTTTGAGAAGATACACACATTGGGGGCTCGTCCAGGATACGAATAGTCATATAATATAATTATACCATATTATTATTTATTATTATTATGTATAATGGGACCTGAATACAAAAGAAATTGAATCTTACGATACTCAGATGATAATAGTCATATAATATAATTATGCTATATTATTATTTATTATTACTGTTTTCATGTAAAACAGGACCTGAACATGAAAGGCAATAAATATTAGGAAACTAATATAATAATAATTATAATAGTAATATAACATTATTATACTATATTATTATTTATTATTATCATCATGTAAAACGGGACCTGAAACCGAAAGGCATTGATTAGGATACTCAGATAATAATCATAGTCATATAATATAATTATATTTTATTATTATTATTATTATTATTATTATTATTATTATTATTATTATTATTATGTAAAATGGGACCTGAACATGAAAGGCATTGAATATTAGGATACTCAGATAATAATCATAGTCATATAATATAATTATACTATATTATTATTGTTATTGTTATTATTATCATGTAAAATGGGACCTGGACATTAAAGGCAATGGATATTAGGATACTCATATAATAATAGTAGTAGTAGTATAATCTAATTATACAAGATTATTTATTATTATTATTATGTAAAACAGGACCTGAACACGAAAGGCATTGAATATTAGGATACTCATATAATAATAATTCAGAGGGATTGGCTGGTACCTTTTGCTGGAAGAGCTCTTTGGTTTTCGTGATGTTCAATGAGTTTGTATGCTTCTGCAAAGCTGTTGAGAGTGGCTTGTAGGTCTTCTTCTGAATGTGCACAGACTATGTTATCGTCAGCATATTGCAGTTCTATGTTGTTGTGACATTGACATTGGCTTTCAGTCTGCTGAGGTTATTGTTATTTATTATAATTATTTAAAATATGACCTGAACATGAAAGGCATTGAATATTAGGATACTCAAATAATAATAATAATAATAATAATAATAATAATAATAATAATATAATATAAGATAGTATAACATAATTATACTATATTATTATTATTATTATTATTATTATTATTATTATTATTATTATCATTTAAAATGAGACCTGAAGACGAAAGGCATTGAATATTAGGATACTCAAATAATAATAATAATAATAATAATAATAATAATAATAATAATATAAGATAGTATAATATACTATCTTATTATTATTATTTTTATCATTTAAAATGAGACCTGAACACAAAAGGCATTGACTATTAGGATACTTGAATAATAATAATAATAATAATAATAATAATAATAATATAAGATAGTATAATATAATTATACTATATTATTATTATTATTATTATTTATAATGTAAAATGGGACCTGAACACAAAAGGCATTGAACATTAGGATATTCAGATAATAATTATTATATGAAGGTATATTATTGTTATTATTATTGAAAGCACGATCTTCCAAATGCAAGATCCGAACGTAAACACAGAATGGATTTGCAATATTTCCACCCCTGGCTTTTGTGCAAAGAATAATAATTATTTGTGCATCAGATTTGCCGTAACATTGTGCAAGGAATGCAAGGCCAAAATAGGGATAGAGACGGTTGCTATGCCGAATAACATCCCCGCCATAAAAAAGACAGTTGCATCCTACACACACAGAGCTCTCCCACTGCTGCTCTTGTCTCCATGGCAACCAACTCCCCGGCAACCGCCTCCCCAGCAACCGCCCCCTCTTGCTGCTGTTGCATCCTTCTATCACTATTATACTCATTTAACAATAACAGTTATATAATATAATATAATTTTACTATATTGTTATTATCAGAGTAAGACCACCATCATCATCAGTAATATTATTATTATTATTATTATCATCATCATCAGAGTGATATCATCATTATCAGGTGGAATGCATCATCATGATGGGAGGCATGCGTGCATGCTTCCCATCCCAAAATTATCTTTTTCTATTTATCATCAAGGAACATATATGACGCTCTTCTCCGCCTCCTCCTTCGTTCCTTAGCTCATCTCTGGTTGCTATGGAGGGGGCAACCACGTCTACACTGACTCAAAAGTGGCTTTACAATCATCACGAAAGCGTTGTTTTTGCAATCCAACGCAGCCTTATGTCATTTTACGGGTGGGAGGAAGGAACTCAGGCAGGCTACCCATCAATCCTTCTCAGCAGAGGCTCATCCAGCCTCTACTTCAAAGAGGAAGTCCATTCCTGGGCATTTACATTGGCCATTTTGCATCCCGTTCCATGCCTTTGGTGATTTTTCCCTTGCAAAATCCCTTATTTGCATGTAACGTGCATGGTTGCAAATCCTATTTGTGTGCCAGTGGAACCCACAAAAAAAATAACAAAAACGATGGGATTTTTGCAGGCCGTTAAACTGCAGAACTCGCCGCTGCAAGGCACGGGTGGGGGTTTTGGGGGCCTTGAAACGAGTACATTATATTTCCCGATCTATCTAGATATGTCCCAGTTGCATTGATACTGTTCTGCATGTTAATTAATAGCATTATTAATTATGTATGAGAGCCTTTGCGCTCCACTTCCCCCGTTTGCAAGGTCCAGATTGCACTGAGTTTCCCCCCTTTGTGTGTTTTATCATGTGCTTTGAGCCTTATTATTATTTTATATTATTATATTAAATTATTTTACGTGTCTGTATGTTTGTATGTAGATGTGTGTGTGTATCTCACCATAATCAATTATGAGAGGTAGGCCAGGTTGAGCATGGAATCTCATATTATTATTATTATTATTATTATTATTATTATTATTATTATTATTATTATTACTATTATTATCATTATATTTTATATTATTGTGACATCTACTTCAGCTACTGGTTGGAGGAATAATAATAATACTGCAAGGCTATATAATCATAATTATTATTAATAATAATACTGCAAGGCTATATAATCATAATAATAACAATTATTAATACTGCAAGGCTATATAATAATAATACTGCAAGACAGAATAACAATAATAATAATAATAATAATAATAATAATAATAATAATAATAATAATAATAATAAATACTGCAAGGCTATATAATAATAATAATGCAAAGCTATATAATCATAACATTAATAATGGTGCAATGCTATATAATAATGACTTTTTGCTTCTTCTTCCTCTGGACAGACTTATTATTATTATCATCATTATTTAATTTTAATATTATCCTCACCATATATTTCTATTATTATTATTATTACTATATATTTCTATTATTATTATTTAACATTAATTATTATTCTTACTATATATTTCTATTATTATTATTTAATATTATTATTCTTACTATATATTTCTATTATTATTATTTAACATTAATTATTATTCTTACTATATATTTCTATTATTATTTAATATTAATATTATACTCACCATATTATTATCATTACATATATTTATATTACATTATCATTATTCAATGTTAACATTATCCTCACCATATATTATATATTAACATTATCCTAACCCTATAATAATATTATTATTGGTACCATATTATCCTCACCATATATGATTAATATTAGTATTATTATCCTTATTTATTATTAATATTATACTCACCATATTTTAGTATTATTTTTACCATATATTATTATTATCATTTAATATTAATATGATCTTCACCATATATTTATTATTATTATTATTATTATTATTATTATTATTATTATTAAGTCTTAATCTTGTCTTGCTTCCACTCGAACAGACTTCAGCTACGGGTCGGAGGACTATGACGCGGAGGGGAACGAGGAGCCCAAGGCGCCCCCGCCGGAGGCCATGCCTTACATTGACGAGTCCCCCACCATGTCCCCACAGCTGGGGGCCCGGGGCCCGGACGAGGGGGCCGACCATGCAACGCCCAATGGGAGCACCAGCAACAATGGGGTAAGAGCAGCAGTGCAGCTTGACAATAGTAGTATATATATATATATACACACACACACACACATTTGTATATATTATGTATATTATATATATATATGACTGAGCCAAGTGTGTGATGCTGCAGCAAAAAAGGCCAATGCAATCTTAGGCTACATCAATGGGAATATAATGTCGGGATCAAAGTCCTATTCCCATTCTCTTCTATAATAATAATCATAATCATAATCATAATCATAATAATGGTTTTTATGGCTCTGTGGACTTTGCAATAATAATAATAATAATAATAATAATAATAATAATAATAATAATAATGGTTTTATGGCTCTGTGGACTTTGCAATAATAATAATAATAATAATAATAATAATAATAATAATAATGGTTTTATGGCTCTGTGGACTTTGCAGTAATAATAATAATAATAATAATAATAATAATAATAATGGTTTTTATGGCTCTGTGGACTTTGCAATAATAATAATAATAATAATAATAATAATGGTTTTTATGGCTCTGTGGACTTTGCAATAATAATAATAATAATAATAATAATAATAATGGTTTTATGGCTCTGTGGACTTTGCAGTAATAATAATAATAATAATAATAATAATAATAATAATAATAATAATAATAATAATAATAATAATAATAATAATAATGGTTTTATGGCTCTGTGGACTTTGCAGTAATAATAATAATAATAATAATAGTTTTATGGCTCTGTGGACTTTGCAATAATAATAATAATAATAATAATAATAATAATAATGGTTTTATGGCTCTGTGGACTTTGCAGTAATAATAATAATAATAATAATAATAATAATAATAATAATAATGGTTTTATGGCTCTGTGGACTTTGCAGTAATAATAATATAATAATAATAATAATAATAATAATAATAATGGTTTTATGGCTCTGTGGACTTTGCAGTAATAATAATAATAATAATAATAATAATAATAATAATAATAATGGTTTTATGGCTCTGTGGACTTTGCAGTAATAATAATAATAATAATAATAATAATAATAATAATAATGGTTTTTATGGCTCTGTGGACTTTGCAGTAATAATAATAATAATAATAATGGTTTTATGGCTCTGTGGACTTTGCAATAATAATAATAATAATAATAATAATAATAATAATGGTTTTATGGCTCTGTGGACTTTGCAGTAATAATAATAATAATAATAATAATAATAATAATAATAATGGTTTTATGGCTCTGTGGACTTTGCAGATAATAATAATAATAATAATAATAATAATAATGGTTTTATGGCTCTGTGGACTTTGCAGTAATAATAATAATAATAATAATAATAATAATAATAATAATAATAATAATAATAATAATAATAATAATAATAATGGTTTTATGGCTCTGTGGACTTTGCAGTAATAATAATAATAATAATAATAGTTTTATGGCTCTGTGGACTTTGCAATAATAATAATAATAATAATAATAATAATGGTTTTATGGCTCTGTGGACTTTGCAGTAATAATAATAATAATAATAATAATAATAATAATAATGGTTTTATGGCTCTGTGGACTTTGCAGTAATAATAATAATAATAATAATAATAATAATAATAATGGTTTTATGGCTCTGTGGACTTTGCAGTAATAATAATAATAATAATAATAATAATAATAATAATAATAATAATAATAATGGTTTTATGGCTCTGTGGACTTTGCAGTAATAATAATAATAATAATAGTTTTATGGCTCTGTGGACTTTGCAATAATAATAATAATAATAATAATAATAATAATAATGGTTTTATGGCTCTGTGGACTTTGCAGTTAATAATAATAATAATAATAATAATAATAATAATAATAATAATAATAATAATAGTTTTATGGCTCTGTGGACTTTGCAATAATAATAATAATAATAATGGTTTTATGGCTCTGTGGACTTTGCAGTAATAATAATAATAATAATAATAATAATAATAATAATGGTTTTATGGCTCTGTGGACTTTGCAATAATAATAATAATAATAATAATAATAATGGTTTTATGGCTCTGTGGACTTTGCAGTAATAATAATAATAATAATAATAATAATAATAATAATAATAATAATAATAATGGTTTTATGGCTCTGTGGACTTTGCAGTAATAATAATAATAATAATAATAATAATAATAATAATAATTTTATGGCTCTGTGGACTTTGCAGTAATAATAATAATAATGGTTTTATGGCTCTGTGGACTTTGCAGTAATAATAATAATAATGGTTTTATGGCTCTGTGGACTTTGCAGTAATAATAATAATAATAATAATAATAATAATGGTTTTTATGGCTCTGTGGACTTTGCAATAATAATAATAATAATAATAAGCCATAACCTAGTATGGCATCTCCTAATTGGGATTATTATTGTGTTGTCGAAGACGACAGCAACCCAGGAATTATATTATTTTTATATTACATTATTATTATTATTATTATTATTATTATCATTTATTATTATTAGAAGCACAACAAGATGAGTCCACAGCAGACACTCTGCTGGCTGTTGTATTGGATCACACGTCGGACACTTCCCAAGTGTCTAGGACTGTGTGATGTATCGGCGAATAATGTGTGACAGATGGAAATTTTGTCAGCACCAATTGTTTTTAAGTACAGGCCAAGGTCTTGAGGCACTGCACCCAGTTTGCCGATCCCCACTGGGACCACCTTTACTGGCTTGTGCCAGAGTCATTATTATTATTATTATTATTATTATTATTATTATTATTATTAGCCCTATCATAGTATAGGCTCTGCTTATTGGAATTATTATTATTATTATTATTATTATTATTATTATTATTATTATTATCATTATTGTTCTTATTCCTGCTCCCAAGGCCCCTTTGTCCCCATTCTTAAAGGCTTTGTTTGGCTTCCGAGCTCTCCTTAAATCCTTCCTGGTTGCACTTTGGACTTTTGCAAAGAGCCTTCTGTTTTTCACCCCTTCCTGCCTGCAGAAGGCCCCGCTCTTCTCTCTTCTTAAAGGGACCCCATTTTTTTCCAATGCAAACCTTGTGGTTTTGTGGCTTCCTTTCTTTCTCCGAATGCAGTCTCTGCTGTTCAGCTTTGGCCCCATAAAGAGGCCTGACCACGAGACATATATTTCGGTGCATTCGACCCGAAATATATATATATAATGACTTATTTTTTTTATCCTGTCTTATTATTATTATTATTATTATTATTATTATTATTGCTAGACATTTCCCTTCTGCCAGGCAGGAAGACATTATTATTATTATTATTATTATTATTATTATTATTATTATTATTAGTATTATTATTAGTATTATTGCTAGACGCTTCCCTTCTGCCAGGCATGAAGATATTATTACTACTACTACTACTATTATTATTATTATTATTATTATTATTATTATTATTATTTGAAACACAACAAGATTAGTACATAGCTGGCTGTTGTATTGGATCACACATCGGACCCTTCCCAAGTGTCTAGGACTGTGTGATGTATACGCAAATAATGTGTGCAGATCCAAATAAGGTGGCCTTTTGCAGCTGGCAGATGGTAATTTTCTCAGCGCCGATTGTGTTTAAGTGCAGGCCAAGGTCTTTAGCCACTGCACCCAGTGTGCCGATCACCACTGGGACCACCTTTAGTCTCCTATTTGGAAGGGAACTCAAAGGCCATCTAGTCCAACCCTCTTCTCTCATAAAGGAAAATATAATAATAATATATTTTATTATATTAATGTTATTATTAATCACCTATTCAGAAGCGACCCTCAAAGGCCATCCAGTCTGTCCCCCTTCTGCCAGGCAGGAAGATAGAATTATTATTATTAATTGTTATTATTGATTATTGTTATTATTATTCAATATTATTGTTAATATTATTTTTATTATTATATTTATTGTCATTATTAGTTATGCTTGTTATTATAATTGTTTTTATTGTTACTATATTTATTGTCATTATTATTTATTTTATTATTTATTGTTATTTATTATGATTATTTATTGTTGTTACTTATTATTATTATTGTCATTACTTATTGTTATTATTATTTATTTATTTTTATTTATTTTATTTATTTATTATGTCAGGAGCAAGCCAAACAGTTGTATTGCATTTTTATTGTTATTTATTGTTGTTATTATTATTTATTGTTGTTACTTATTATTATTATTATTATTGTCATTATTTATTGTTATTAGTATTTTTATTTATTTATTTATCGTGTCAGGAGCAAACCAAACAGTTGTATTGCATTTTTATTGTTATTTATTATTATTATTATTATTATTATTATTTATTGTTACTTATTATTATTATTGTCATTATTTATTGTTATTAGTATTTATTTATTTATTTATCGTGTCAGGAGCAAACCAAACAGTTGTATTGCATTTTTTAACAAACAAACAAAGCACAAAGTTTGCAAACTCGGGTAGTTGATTAAATGCCCTTTGACCAGCATTATTATTTATTATTCTTGTTATTATTTATTGTTGTTGTTATTTATTGTTATCATTATTGATTAAATGTACTTTGACCAGTATTATTATTTATTTTTGTTATTATTATTTATTGTTATTGTTGTTATTTATTGTTATCACTATTTGTTATTTATTGTTATTGCTATTATTATTATTATTATTATTATTATTATTATTATTATTATTTGATACGTAACAAGGCTAGCACACAGCAAACAAGATACTAGTCCCAAGTGTTTTGGACCTTGTGATATATAGGTAAATAATGTGATACATATTATTATTATTATTATTATTATTAGTCTCCTATTCAGAAGGGACCCCCGGAGACCATCCAGTCTGACCCTAAGGAAGTCAACACCATCCGATCCCTCCTGGCAGATGGCCATCCATTGCGGCCCATCCCTCCTCCTTTTCTTCCACATATTATTATTATTATTATTATTATTATTATTAGTCTCCTATTCAGAAGGGA